GTCAGGTAAAATGAGTTTGATGCAATTAATTCAATCTGCGATGGATTTTATTTAAAACATTACTTCTCGTTGGAGGCTTCTATAAATATTTAGTTTATTTGTAGAGCAATGTTACAATTCAGTTTCATGGTGCAAAGCAAAAATATTTAATAGTGCGTGTGTTGTAACTTGGTGCCAGGGTTGCCAGGTTTTCACAAGAAAACCCGCCCAATCGCTACTCAAAACTAGCCCAATCGCGTTTCGAGGGGGTCCCCAGTTAAAAATCGCATTCCGGGGGGTAAAATACACGTTTTTTTGGCGGGGTTCCCCTACTAAAATTCACATTTATTTGTACACGTCTCTATTGGTAGTGTATCTCACCTGTTTGTGAGTAGTGCATCCAGTTGAGGATAACCTCCGGTGCTCTGTACCAGCGGGTCACAACATAACCTGTCATCTCTGAATCTGCCTGACGTGCTAGTCCAAAGTCCAAGATCTGCACACAAAATGTACCGTTTTTACACTTTTGATTTTTGAAACTCCAGCTATTTAGGAAAGTTGATGTAGACATTCATTTAAATTGTGCTATAGACCAAGTTGGTTTAATACCTTCAATTCACAGTCCTGGTTCACTGCCAGATTTCCTGGTTTGAGATCCTGAAGAAAGACAACCAAAGTAGACATTTTTACAGTAAATACAACTAATACATGTACATCTAAGGTAGTACAAATGCTCCTACTTATTATATATAGCCTGCTTTTAAAGAAACAATAACGCACGCCTCCATGCATTTTCTCAGACATTATAAAAGAGAAGAGATGGACAGAGAATGAATGAACGTCAGGGTTGAATGAAGTAGTCACCCAACCCCCTCTGTGCATCTATTTAAACTCTCCGAGGTCACTTACCCTGTGAATGATTCCGGCTGAATGAATGTACTGTGGAAAAAGAGCAAGAGCGAGAGATTTATAGATACCACAAAGCTATAAAGAAGGACATAATGTTTCACAAATGTGATTGTGTGTGTATCTGTGCCTAACCTTCAGACCCCTCAGTATCTGATAGACCAGAAACTGCACCCTGTCCTCCGATAATCTCTCCATCTTCATCAGCTTTCCCAAATCAGTGCCCATAAACGGCATCACCAGGTAACTGAGAGTAAAAAGACATTAACTGCTGTTTCATTGGTGATCTGACAGAACTTTGAACAATTGCTAATGATCTAAATTACATAATGTTAGTTAATATTTTTAATTTTGTTGACAACAAAATCTAGTTTTTTAGCTTTTTAGTAGCATTAGAACTGAAAGAATTGACTCACAAATCCTGAAATCTGTCCAACAAGATTTCCGAGGTAAAGACGTCCAGCAGTCCAATAACCTGCCCAGTTGGTTAGAATTAGATATTAGGGTGCATGAAAAACATGAACAAAGTAAATACATGCCAGACTTCTTACAGAGAGGCGAACAAGGGAAAAAAGCAACCTTATGAGATTATTAATTAATGACACACAGTTCTTTAATAATGTAAATGGTAAATGTAGATGTTGGTAACATACATTCTCATGTTTCATGTGCTTGAGCAGTCGCAGCTCTCTGTAAGCACGTTTGGCGAACAGTCTGGACTGGAACGGCCGGTGGAGCTTCTTGATGGCCACCCGCACTCCTGTCTTATGGTCATTGGCTGAACTTTGGATATATTGAGAAGAGTAAGATCAGTGCTTGACAATTGTCTTTATAACCATCTGCAAGACCATTACAAAGTCCACTACTTCATTACATAGTCACTGCATTTTTCTACCTCTACGTCTGGACATGAAGATGTGGTTAGGAAAGAGGTTGTGGACATAGCTTAATGTGCGATAGGTTCATTACTCAATCTGAAACTTGAGCAATTTGGACAAGTGAAAAATCTATTAAAGTGGAAAGCTTGCTGAAGACCAACATAATGGCTTTAATTCGGCAACTTCTGCTTGTTAAGCGCAGACAATGGCATCAGCAGGGAGGCTTTGTTATCTGACCTCTTGTCTTGCCAAGGAAGAAAAGTTTACAGAGGTTTCACAGTTTCACCCAGATAAGCCACGAGGGCTTTAGTTGAAGGATAATTAAGAAAACAGATGGAAGTGTATGATGCAATTTAAAAAAAAAAAGAAGGCCAATCTAACAGCGTTCATTGCGCATTGCACAGCTTCCTTGAGAAATATCCTCCTATCTACTGACGTTACAGAGACAGAAGACTAGCTTTGTCTCAGCGTGCATTTTAAGTCATTTCGTCAGCGGTAACCATAGCAACAGTATGCCGCTCGAACGAAAGTACTGCTATTTCTTACAAATTTACAATAAATTCATATACGACATGTGGGCTATACCACAAAAATATTACTAAGAACGCTGCATTGTGTAAGAAGACTCTTTGCACTAAATTCCGAAAACTACAGAACAGAAACTTTTTAAAAGTAGATCCCCTGGAAGTAACTAAATAATTCAGAAACGCTATAGAATTATGAACTTTTAAATACTAATAATGTACTTACCAGACCGTGCCGTATGCTCCGGTTCCTATCTGAATGAGATCTCTGTATCTCTCCGGCACGTCCCAAACGGTTCTGTTTATCTCCCCGCGATAAAATCCTGCCCTGGTTCGGAGTGACATCCTCAGAGAGTGTTGAAAGTAATGTTTCAAATATGAAACTATCCTTTTTACGTTCTCACTGTTTGTCGGATATTTTGATAAAGAAACTCTCGGAGAACGAGCGCAAAGGGAGCGCAACTTGGAGAGCACCGGTAAATTTGGGGGCGGTTCAAAGTTTCCAGTTACGCACGGGAGACACGCTGGAATAAACATTTGATCATCGTAAAGCAGCCTTTTCAGATTGTTGTCGGATCTGTAAATGAGGTTTGATTGACTCCTTCTAGTTTTAAAATACTTAACACGTTGATGGGTTTCAGGAAAATAGTTGATTTTATTAAAAGAGATGGTGAGGGGGTCGTGGATACATATGCTAAGTGGACTGGCTAACTTACAAAAGGAGAAAGACCTATCCACTCCCACTGAAACAGCTGAAGGCAGTTTTTATCTTTGTTAAAAGGCACGCAAAAGCCCAGAAGGAGGGTGCAGATACATAAGGGCAAAGTGCTAAGGCAACATAACCAAGACATCTGAACAACATCAGAGAAGTGACACTTGGTTTGTAGCAAGTAGTTAGTATATTTTTTACACTGGACTGGACTGAAAGCAGGGCAGTTGTTGATAACGTTCATTTACATAAAGTGTAAATGTGAGAAACCAAACCCATTTTCCCCATTCAACTTCAGAGGATGCTGACTAGTTTCATGACATCAAAGTAGTCATTCAGGACCTTCCAAAACATATACTGAGAAATAATTGTGACACTAACACTTCCTGAAATGCAGTTTCACTCACACACAAACACAAACACCAACACACACACACACACACACACACACACACACACACACACACACATTCATTCTGCTGCTGTTCCCCAAATACATTTTAAATGTTGTGTAATTCTTTTCACTAGACAGAAGAAACATTCAGAAGACTGAATTGAAATTGCTTTCTCAAAAAAAAAAAAAAAAAGGAAAATTATATTTTACACAAAAAAAATCAAAATTGTTGCGCAAAATCCAAGGTCATTTCAAGATTTGTTTCTTTCTTTGACATTGACATTATTTTCATAAATACATATTTTCTTATATTCCTAAAATCGTATATATTTGACACTTGTATAAATTAAAGGCAGTATGGCAAATGTATAATTACTCAATCACTCACTTATTTATTATTATTATTGTTGTTGTTATTTATTTATTTGCGTTTTATCATAATGGAAATAGAGAGAAATTTGCTTAATTGTAATGAAAATAATGTCACAATGCAAACAATCATAATGGTCATAAAAGTTTCTTTTTTAAATGCAAGATAACAATTTTATTATTTTTGTTAATTTTAGGGTGAATTATGACCCAGATGTACTTAACAGGTTTTGTGATAGATATGGATATTAACAAATGACAACTGACTTGTACTATAGAAATGGACGCGGAAATTTATGTATTACAATAAATGACATCAAGCGACATACTGGTCCTTTAAATAACCTGAGAAAAGAAAAACATACAAAGAAAATCATAATTGTTGCGCAAAATCCAAGGTCATTTCAAGATTTGTTTCTTTCTTTGACATTGACATTATTTTCATAAATACATATTTTCTTATATTCCTAAAATCGTATATATTTGACACTTGTATAAATTAAAGGCAGTATGGCAAATGTATAATTACTCAATCACTCACTTATTTATTATTATTATTGTTGTTGTTATTTATTTATTTGCGTTTTATCATAATGGAAATTGAGAGAAATTTGCTTAATTGTAATGAAAATAATGTCACAATGCAAACAATCATAATGGTCATAAAAGTTTCTTTTTTAAATGCAAGATAACAATTTTATTATTTTTGTTAATTTTAGGGTGAATTATGACCCAGATGTACTTAACAGGTTTTGTGATAGATATGGATATTAACAAATGACAACTGACTTGTACTATAGAAATGGACGCGGAAATTTATGTATTACAATAAATGACATCAAGCGACATACTGGTCCTTTAAATAACCTGAGAAAAGAAAAACATGTCCAGCATAATGTTGAATTATCCGGCACTGTTGTAGTGCAGCGTAAACTAACAGGTAACCTTTATTTCAACCTTTTGTTAAGAAAAGACAGTATTTGTGGCTGGGGTGAGTTCTCTCACCACCATCTGTTTTCTGTAACTAAACAATTATTAATCACTTCATTTTCACCTGAGGTGTGATTCAATGCAAACACACATGATGCATTTGAGGTATGTTATATTCAGATAGCCTTGCAGATGCAAAACGAGTAAAGAGATTATGTAACTGATTCAGTTTTATGCAGAGACTTTTGTACATTGATGCATATATGAACTTTTTAAGACACACATCCCACTCCATGTCCAACATTGTAAACATATTTTTCTCCTCCTCCTGCTTAGTTTGTTTTGGTCTCATATGAAAGACACCATACCCTGCTTCACCTGTCTCACATCAAATATAAAAAACACTCAAAACACACAACTCTGCATACATACACACACACACACACACACACACACACAACATGCACCTTGTAATATTAATACATTGTGTCTATGTTCAAACAATACCGGTCGTGTTTTGCTCTTAATTAAGTGTGTATGAACATACACCCACATACAGGAAGGGCGTCATGCTTTGGAAATACATAGTCATGACTGCAAGCTGTTCATACAGTATGTCCACCAGTCCTGTAGTTCGTATGTTTGAAAGACAGACAGTGGTGAGGGCGGCATCTTCCTGGATTGTAGTTACGCTCAGTTTTATTGTTCAACCTGAAGATTTTCAGGTTTATTGGGAGGATCTTTAAAATTGCTTACTTCCTCAAACACCAGCTCTGTAGAGGGAGAAAGAGAGAGTGAATTTCCATAGTCACTCACTGTACAATTTCAAAATATTAGTTTATTATATTTTAATATTAGGATTTAAATATAAATCAATAAAGACAAAAAGTGTGACAAAAATATGAAATGGTTCATTTTATATTACAATGTATCAATTTGCCAGATTATGTTCACAATGATTTTCTGAATGAACAAAAATAGCTTCAGCACGGTGGTGTTTTAGTGTAAGTTTACAACATTTAATGGAAGACTCCCTCTCACCCTTCCACTCCTCCAGTGTGCGATCCTTGCTCTCAGGGGTCTGATCATACGGCGGCGCCTCCGGTTCATCTTCAGGATCGTGGTATTGGGAAAAGTATGGATGGCACAGAGCTTCACTGGCTGAAATCCTCCCATCACAGTCTAATACTAGCATTTTTTTTAACAGATCAACCGCTGTCAAAGAGGGAATATGGGGTTAGGAAAGAGTTGAAAATGGGTAAAAAAAAATATGGAATTTTGTAACTTTTTTTTTTTTAATATTGTTTGATATTGATAATTGCTTGTACAGCAAGGATGATAACAATAACGATAACTATAGAGATACAGTTTTAAAAATCATTCCACAACTATAGCAATAATGATACAACGAATGGTATCTTTGGAACTTTTAGAACGTTTTTTTTTTTTTTTTTTCCCTGCTGATGAACGCTAAAATCACTGACAGCCAATCAGAATCCAGCAGACTTTAAAGCGCTCGAGCATTCAAAGCGGCAGATGGCATAAATGTAGCTCGCATTAATATGGTGCGTGGGTGCTAATATAGTTATCATTCTTAATGTGAGCAGGCCTTTAGTCTTACCCAGTGGATTTGCTCCTCTAAATATCTTCGCCAGGTCCTGCTGAGGCATGTGTGGAAGAGACTGGATGTACTTCTGAGCCTGGATGCATAGTAAAAAAAAAAAAAAAACTTACTATGGTTTGATTTCAGTCAATCTATCATCCATTGAGTCGCATGTACTATTGTAGTATAGTAACATTGTTAGAATGAATAAATTAAACCAATAACTGAACGGTTGGTCTCTTCTCACATGTTCAGAGGATATCTTCTTCAAAACATCAGGCGTGGGAGTGCCTACAACCTCCATGATTCTCTTTAGCTGATCTATATCTGAACAAATTATGTTAAAGATTATACAGATCCCCTCAAGAGAGCGTAGAGTATTCAGCTGAAAGTATAAGAAAGCCTGGCCTATAGAAAGATACCCATCTGATACCTCCATCTTTGGAAACTGATTTCTAGTTCCTTACATTCAGTTACTATAATTTCATTTGAACCATTTAGGCTGTGCTTTCGTCACCTGCCTTACAGGAAGCAAGACTCACTCAAAAACCACACATAAGCACACTAAGAGGTGGTGTAAGTGGCTTTTATGAAGGAAGGATACAATCGTTGCCAGGAAACAAAACCTTCCCCTTCAGAAGTTCACCCATGATGCATCCAACAGACCAGATATCCACTGTAAAACAGATTTAATCGTATTTGATCAACCAGTTGCACAGAACATAAATACAGATGTTGTCTCTATCTATCTATCTATCTATCTATCTATCTATCTAAAAACACAAGAATTTAAGGTGCATGTTAAGATTGAAGACTTTTTAGGTGAAGCTTGTTTTACCTGTCTGGTTGTAATGCATCCAGTTGAGCATGATCTCAGGTGCTCGGTACCAACGCGTCGCTACGTATCCCGTCATCTCATCATCTGTCTGCCTGGCTAAACCAAAATCCAGGATCCTGAGTTCACAATCTCTATCTATCTATCTATCTATCTATCTATCTATCTAAAAACACAAGAATTTAAGGTGCATGTTAAGATTGAAGACTTTTTAGGTGAAGCTTGTTTTACCTGTCTGGTTGTAATGCATCCAGTTGAGCATGATCTCAGGTGCTCGGTACCAACGCGTCGCTACGTATCCCGTCATCTCATCATCTGTCTGCCTGGCTAAACCAAAATCCAGGATCCTGAGTTCACAATCTTCATTCACCGCTACATTGCTTGGCTTTAAGTCCTTCAAACATGCGTACAAATTAATTTCTTTTAACATTATATGATGTAGCATAGTGTTAAAACTAGGTAAAATCTACTTTTTTCAATCAGAACGGTGTCATTCTTTTGTAAAGAGGGTTAAAAGGAAAAAGACTTTTGTGGCCTGTAAACTGGACACTAAACAAAAACTGAGAAGGAGCACTCACTCTGTGGATCAGCCCAGCTGAATGGATGTACTGTTTGTAAAAGAAAAAAAAAAAAACTGTAGGACAGCGTAAAAGAGACATAGAGACACTAAAAACAGCTTGCGTCTGCAATTCAGAACTGATTCTAACATCTGTTTGTGTCCTTTTGTATGTGTTTGTAAAAAAAACAACAACTGAAAATGTACCTTAAGGCCCCGGAGAAGCTGATAAATTAGGAATTGTACATGTTCATCTGAAAGTCTCTGAAATTTGACAATGTTGTTGAGATCCGCTCCCATCAGGTTGGTCACAAGATAGCTAGAAAGACAGAGACAGTCTTGGCTTATATCCAATCTAGTGCATTTAAATCATCACACACTTGCAAATAAAAACAAATGTTGTTTGATAATTAGTCGACTGCAAGTGCAGATGGGTTTAATCAAACCAAAAGTGCCATTTTAGTTTCACAGACATCTGTAAAGCTATTTTATGCACTCTCAAATGAAGATGCAGTCACCGGGCAGACACTCACACCTCATTGAATTCTTCAAGAGAAGCTGCCGGAGTGAAAACGTCCAGCAGTCCGATAACCTGGATTACAGAAAAAAAATAACACGAGTGACTTAAGTGGCTCTAGACTTTGTTGTTTGAGCAGATCTAACAATCTCAGTTCAGATGTTTGATGATTGTCTAACAGTTGTATGAGTTATGTCAGTGCAGGACTGGACATTTGGCATTTGTTTGCTCCCTTGCATCGATGTGTTTGCATGCGACTTACATTCTCATGTTTCATGTGTTTGAGGAGTCTCAGTTCTCTGTATGTTCTTCTGCTGTGGATGAGAGACTGGAAAGGCCTGGAGAGCTTCTTGACGGCCACTTTCTGACGAAGGCGCACATCATATGCTGAGCTAAAGGGAAACAGAGAAATTTTTGGAATTTTTTGATCCAACTCAAAACTAAAGTTTCTGCTGACATTGAGACTACAGACATTTGCCATGGTATGTTCCTGTTAAATTTGACCTTTTGTTCAAAATGGTATCACTTCCTCACGGCAGTGGACCATATTAAACACTCTCTGAATGAAAACTCTGTTCTTGATTGAATGAAATGCTCTGGAGAATCACGTCTGGCATGAGTGCAAGACTCAGAAGTAATTAATAAATACATAGTAAAAGGGACATTTGACTCACCATTCAGGGGCTCTAGAGTCATATCAGTTGAGATTGATTAGAAAGGCAAATTTTACAGTTTCAGAAGGCCAATTGAGAAATTAGGTGGGAAAAGCAAAAGAAATTGAGTCAGTGGATAAAGTAATAATTCCTGCAGTGACTCAGTGTTATGAATGCACTTTAAATATATCAAACCCCCTGGCAGGTCTTTAGAACTTGATTAATGAAGGTATTCTTAGAAATATTTTAATCAAGATGCAAGATGCAGTCATGGAGTTTTCTACAACTGAATCATGCAATATGGTGTGATATGTGCATTTTATTTTATTTCATTTTCGATATTTTATAAAAATATTGTATTTATTTTTCCACAATGAAGTCTGTTAAAGACAAGAGCACCCAACCCCCATTTGGGATGCTCCCATTCCTTGTTTCAACCCCTCCACACCCCAGGTCTGCCCTGCCCCCTTCCTTTAAAATTAATCAGCTCTGCTGTGAAGAAGTCAAATAATCACACAATAGAAAAGGGCTTACCGTGAACAATGCAAATTCACAGCTCATTTGAGTTAGAAAGTGTTTGTGGGAGTGTGTGTGTGCGTGAGAGAGAGATTCCTTGGGACTCCTTACTATGGGACCAGGCCTATTATTGAAACAAAAGATAACAATTGCTTAATCAGGCCTCTCATGTCAGATGATACACTGCAATGTCTCTATAATCATATCCCCAGGCTGTTAGAAATAGTTGAACCTAGTCAGCTCGACATGGGATCCAATCAGTAGCAATTAAATCTCCAGTGTAAATCCATTGTTAGTGTTGTGCATCTTTTAATATAGATAATGAAATAATTAGGTCTCAGGTGGTCTCGAGATGTTGTGGGGCATCTGCATCACTGACAATGACATGAGCTGCATCACATTATTTTTCAGAGCAAGCCTCCCAAACAAATGAGAAGAAACACTGGTAATAGCTTCCAAAACAGGACGCCCATGTGATGCCCTCAATCAGTGCTGGTGCTTTTTTCCCCCCAATGCCTTTGGGTTTGTGATATTTGTTAGTTAGCTTGGATTAGCTAGGATTGTGCAGGGTTTAGTTTCTGAATCACTACTTTGGTTGGAGCCACTGTTTATGTGATTTTATGCTCATTGCAATCAATGAAAATTATACATTTTGTTGTACAGATTATTATTAATATGTAAATTATGAATGATATTATGGAGTCGTTCACCCAGAAATGAAAATTTGCTGAAAATGTACTCACCCTCAGGACATCCAAGATGTAGATGAGAAATGTAGCATCACATCACTTGCTCACCAATGGATCCTCTGCAGTGAATGGGTGCCGTCAGAATGAGAGTTTAAACAGCTGATAAAAACATCACAATAATCCACAAGTAATTCACACCACTCCAGTCCATCAACTAATGTATTGTGTAGAGAAAAGCTGCATGGCATCAAGACGTTTTTAACTTCAAACCGTTGCCTCCAGCTAAAATATGAGTCCTCTATCCATAATATTGCTTTCTCTGAATTAGGAGACAGATATGCACAGATCAAGCACCATTTACATGCAAAAACAGTTCAAAATAGTTCTAAACAAATATGTGGGTGGATTTTGATGTGAGATGAAAACAAGGGTTGGACGTTTTCACTGGATGAAATGTTATTATAAATTATGGACACTTATTTTGGCCAGAAGCAATGATTTAATGTTAAAACACCTTAATAATGGATTTGTTTCTTATAAACACACAGCTTTTTGCTTCACAAGAAGTTAACTGATGGACTGGAGTGGTGTGGATTATTGTGAAGTTTTATCAACTGTTTGGATTCTCTATTGGTGAGCAATTCTACATTTCTTTAAATCTGTTCTAATGAAAAAACAAACTCATCTACTTCTTGGATGGCCTGAGGGTGAGTAAATGTTAGCAAATTTTCATTTTTGGGTGAACTATTCCTTTAAGGCATTGTTGGTTTCCATTCGGTTAATAACTAATGAAGATTATATTTATACCATCATGAGTCAGACTGATTTTGACCTGGCTCTCTTAGACAAAGCGGTTAGAACAGTAGCTTGCAGAGCGGAAACAGTATGCCTGATTACACAACAATTGTGAAACATGGTAAAAAAAAAAAAAACATGTTGGGAAGGGGAAGAGAAACATGTTTACTTGCAAACTTAGTTTAGCATATCAGCTGGATGATTACGCAACTACTGCTGGTGCATCAAAATGATGTGGCGTACTTATAAATAAACTGATTGACATCTTCACAATATTTGCAAATGGTGAAAATGGGAAGATGTTGAAGCCAGAAGCTCTGTCACCATGGCAACTGTTTCAGTCAGTCACAGCACAAGGGAGGCTAGAGGGTTCTAATGTTGTAGATGAGATGCTACAGTGTGCAGTGCAATGTAAATCTCTCAGAATGAGAGTGCATTACGGCAGGATGAAATATCTGGATGTTTTCCCATGCAGATGGACGTCAGATGCTGATGGGGGGTGTGGCACGGGTAAAACTGGAAGACGGTTTCACTTTAAGACCGGAACTGAATAGGCCTAGCATGTTGTCTACTAGAGCAATATTGTGGTACCAGATGGGCATGTTGGAAGGTTCTTTATACAACCTAACTAAACACATTTATAGTATCAGAAGCCTTAGTATGTGGTCATTCTGTATAAAAACACAAATGCCGTGACTACCTGTGATATACAGGGAAATCTCTGTGTTTTCTTTTAAATACTGCCTTTGTGTTCTTGACAGATTGCCAGATACATACAGTAAATCAGCTTTCAGTTCAGCATCATTCAGATGAAGGCGATTTCATTCTATGGACATGCCAAATGAGGTCATACAGACATTGTTGTTGAAGGAATGATTGACACATGTCAGTAAACAAAAGGAGCAGCAGCATTTATCCCAATATAAACAAATTTAAACAGTAAAGCCAACAAATATAATTTTCAGTATGAAATGTTAGTGCTATTTTGTTATTTATCTATTTTGTTCCGGATGTTGTTTTGTCAGGCTTTATTCCTGCCTCACCCTCTCCTACTCTTGCACGCTAAATTACTAGTCGTACTACGGCGAAGGCTCAGCTAATGAATATTAATTAGTTCATGCTGACGTTGCTTAGTAACCTTCCTGATGCTCCCAGTGTAATATTCATGAGCCACGCCTTCATTTAAGGATTCGATAGCGGCCTAGAGCCGAAGATCAGCGCTTTAGCCAATCATCGGTTACGTCATTAATATTCATAAGGCAAACCTTCCTCATAGTAGTATTCGTAAACTCGCCTGCTGGACTCACCATACTGAGCCATATGCCCCCGATCCAACCGGTGTGAGATTCTGGTATCGTTCTGGCACCTCCCAGACAGTCTTGTTTAGTTCTTGCCGGTAGAATCCCGGTCTTGTCGACATCTCTTCCGTTTAAAAAGACGCTCTTTGTTACTAAGCTTTCAGTAAAACATTAACGCATCCGCCAGAGAGATATGCTTATGTGTGGAGGCAGCCGGCTTTAGTCCCTCTATTTACCAGAAATGGGAGGAACCGTCTGTGATGCGTGTGTGTGTGTGTAAGAGAGAGATCCTTTAATATATAGGCAGGCGTATTATAGCATATTCCGCACTCAAGCTCGCGCATAAAGTAGGGTGACCATATTTTAGTTTTCCAAAAAGAGGACAGTGGGTGTGGGGGGCTGTGGTGTGGTTGGTTGGTGGTTAAAGTAATGCCCAAAGTAACGCAATGACCATATCCCAAATATCAAAACTCAAAATATGTCATTTCCAAACCTAAAATAAGCTACATATTTTATTTTTGGTTTTTTTCACAAAACATAACATCTAGCACAGTTTTGTCACAGAATGCAAAATGTTTCAATACAAGCATTTCAGTCAAATGTAATTCATGTACATTTCAAACGGGGAAAATCAACTCATGGTAAGTTTAAGAGTAGCCCAATTCTATCGAAAAAAAAAAAGTGTACTTGACAACCCTGCATCCAACACGAGCTGCAGGAGTCAGATTTGACTGATCACGGGTTGAGAGGATAGATGACTGACTGATCATGCTGGAGGATTTGCTCTTAGTGACTTAGTACTTGGTGGCAAAACCCTTGTTGGCAATCACAGAGGTCAGACGTTTCTTGTAGTTGGTCACCAGGTTTGCACACATCTCAGGAGGAATTTTGTCCCACTTCTCTTTGCAGATCCTCTCCAAGTCATTAAGGTTTCGAGGCTGCAGCTCCCTCCACAGATTTTCTATGGGATTAAGGTCTTGAGACTGGCTAGGCCACACCAGGACCTTAATGTGCTTCTTCTTGAGCCACTGCTTTGTTGCCTTGGCTATGTGTTTTGGGTCATTGTCATGCTGGAATACCCATCCACGACCCATTTTCAATGCCCTAGCTGGCTTCAATGCCCTGGCCCTGATGGTACATGGCACCGTCCATCGTCCCTTTGATGTGGTGCAGTTGTCCTGTCCCATTAGCAGAAAACACCTCCATGTTTGACGGTGGGGATGGCGTTCTTGGGGTCATAGGCAGCATTCCTCCTCCTCCAAACACGGCGAGTTGAGTTGATGCCAGAGAGCTCGATTTTGGTCTCATCTGACCACAACACTTTCACCTAGTTCTCCCCTGAATCATTCAGATGTTCATTGGCAAACTTCAGACAGGCCTGTATATGTGCTTTTCTTGAGCAGGGGGACCTTGCGGGCGCTGTAGGATTTAGGAGGTTCTCACCCAAGACTTGACGATACATGGCCCCGCCCATCGTCTCTTTGATGCAGTGCAGTTGTCCTGTCCCTTTAGCAGAAAAACACCCCCAAAGCATGATGTTTCCACCTCCATGTTTGACGGTGGGGATGGTGTTCTTGGGGTCATAGGCAACATTCCTCCTCCTCCAAACACGGCGAGTTGAGTTGATGCCAGAGAGCTCGATTTTGGTCTCATCTGACCACAACACTTTCACCTAGTTCTCCCCTGAATCATTCAGATGTTCATTGGCAAACTTCAGACAGGCCTGTATATGTGCTTTTCTTGAGCAGGGGGACCTTGCGGGCGCTGTAGGATTTCAGTCCTTCTCGGCGTAGTGTTACCAATTGTTTTCTTGGTGACTATGGTCCCAGCTGCCTTGAGATCATTGACAAGATCCTCCCGTGAAGTTCTGAGCTGATTCCTCACCGTTCTCATGATCATTGAAACTCCACGAGGTGAGATCTTGCATTGAGCCCCAGACCGAGGGAGATTGACGGTTATTTTGTGTTTCTTCCATTTGCGAATAATCGCACCAACTGTTGTCACCTTCTCACCAAGCTGCTTGGCTTGAAAAATTTATCAAATGTTTGTAATTAATTTTTCTGGATTTTTTTGTTGTTGTTCTGTCTCTCACTGTTAAAATAAACCTACCATTAAAATTATAGACTGATCATTTATTTGTCAGTGGGCAAACGTACAAAATCAGCAGCAAAATCACTGTATAAGTAATTAGCAAGATTTTAAAATGTATACGATGTTTAATTGGGAGCCAGTGCAGTGATGACAGAACTGGGCTAATATGGTCGTACTTCCTGGTTCTTGTAACTCTAGCTGCTGCATTTTGGACCAGCTGGAGTTTGTTTATTAAGCGCACAGAGCAACCACCCAATAAAGCATTACAATAATCTAACCTTGAGGTCATGAACGCATGAATTAGCATTTCTGGATTTGACATTGAGAGCATAGGTCATAATTTAGATATATTTTTAAGATGGAAAAATGCTGTTTTACAAATGCTAGAAACATGACTTTCAAAGGAAAGGTTGCTATCAAATAGCAAACCTAGATTCCTAACTGATGGCAAAAAATTGACAGCACAGCCATCAAGTGTTAGACAGTGTTCTAGATTATTACATGCGGAGGATTTTGGTCTGATAATTAACACCTCTGTTTTTTTCAGAATTTAGCAGTAGGAAATTACTAGTCATCCAGTTTTTTATATCAGCTAAGCATTCTGTTAGTTTTGCGAATTGGTATGTTTCGTTGGGCCGCGAAGAGCTGAGTATCATTAGCATAACAGTGTAAGCTAACACCATGTTTCCTGATGATAACTCCCAGGGGTAGCATGTAAAGCATGAAAAGCAACAGTCCTAGTACTGAGCCTTGTTGTACTCCATACTGCACTTGTGAACGATATTCTTAATTCACTGCTACGAATTGATGACGTTCAGATAAGTATGATTTGAACCACGTCAATGCAATTCCATTAATGGCAACATAATTTTCTAGTCTATTCAAAAGAATGTTGTTGTCGATAATGTTGAATGCAGCGCTAAGATCCAGTAGCAATATTAAAGAGATACAAACACGATCAGATGACAAGAGCAGGAAATTTGTTACTCTGATGAGAGCAGTCTCTGTACTATGATACGGTCTAAATCCTGACTGGAAATCCTCACAGATACCATTTTTCTCTAAGAAAGAACATAGTTGTGAGGAGACTCCCTTTTCTGGTATCTTTGACAGAAAAGGGAGATTTGAGATCGGTCTGTAATGAACTAATTCTCTAGGATCATGTTGTGATTTTTTTAATGAGAGGCTTAAAAACAAGGTTTTTAGGACATATCCTAATGACAATGATGAATTAATCATATTCAAAAGAGGATCTATGACTTCTGGAATTACCTATTTTAGTGGCTTAGATGGTATAGGATCTAGCATAAAAAACATGAATCTTCAATAGTACTTAATAATATAATCATAATAATCATAATAATGTATCACAAAAATGCAATGTTTAGTTTTTTCATGTAATAGGCAGTAAGTGTTTAAAATGACTCAACAACATCACAAGAATGGACTGTCTGGGCAGAGACAAGCAATGTTATTGAAACTAGATTAAAAAGACAAATTTGACTTGCTGACTTGACAAGTTGACTTCAGAATATCTAGCCAAATTGTTTGAAGATTTTAAGTTTGAAGCAGTTTTAAAAACTTGAAATTTGAAAAAAAAATTTAAATTTTAAATAAACAACATTTGAAACATAGCACCTGTATTCTCAAGTCAACAAAAATACATCATGCAAATGTGCATAAGAAAACATTTATGATATATATATGTAACACTTATGATATATGCTAATGTTTTTAAGGTAATACCTGGCTAGATGGTTGTCTAAAAGATTGCGGTAGTCTTTAAACAGTGGACGTGTGACAGTAATATATGTTTTCCTCTTGTTCATCCTTGACCACAGCCACTATACAGCCTGAACGTCATCCAAACTAATTCATATCAATGTGAATTTACTCATAGGTGTGCATGTTTGTCTGTCAAGTAAATAAAACTGACATCCATATTTGATGAACAAAACATCTTGGAATTCAAACATTTTTTGCTGGATTCTACTGTGCTGTACATACTTAAATTACTATTTCAACCTGAACAATATGCAAACTTCACATTCTAATTCTCTTCAGGGAGATTCTGCATAATGTAATGTGTTTGCAGGGACATAAAATGAGCTAATAGGAGGTTACTGACAACAAGCTTATCTCCATCTTATCAATGTTTGTTTATAAATATCTGAGCTTTTTGACTTGTTGTATGAATGTGTTGTTATTTATGGAAGCATATAGGTAGCAAAATTCAATTTAAAATGCAATATGCAAAATGGCAATGCAATATGCAAAATGGCAATGTATTTCTGTATTTAAATTTACATTTTCCATTACCCATACGTGCAAAGTTTGTTGCAAAAGGAAAATGAAAATGAAATTATATAATTTACATTTGCCATTTCCAACTGTAGTCTTAATATGTAAATTGCATGCAAATTTGAACGCTTTATAAGTTGCGAAATGAAAATGAAAATGTATAACACAAATTGATTTGATATGTGTAACATGTTCAAGCAGAAATGGTAGCAAAATGATCATTTAAATGCTATTTGTCCTAAATGCATTTAGACTAACAGTTAGAACACTTAGGATTGCATTTTCATCATGACGCCGTGGGATATGTGTAGCAAAATTCAATTTGAAAATGCATTTCGAGTTGACCACGCCCACCCTCTGTCAATCATTGCTTCAAGGCAGGGATTGGCGGAAGCGTGGTACGTTTGGATCGTTTGAAACATGGCGGCTGGAGATCTGATAAGATCGTTGAATTCACTGGCAGATGAAGTGGAGCGTGAACAGAGAACATTTTAAATTGAATTTCGCTACCTATATGCTTCCATAGTTATTAACCAAATATATATTGACAAAGTATTAAACTGGAATTTTCCATACCTGAAATGTGAAGGAACTGTTTTTATTGCATCTCATACGTATAAGTTTAACTTTGAGATGTAATAAAAACAGTTTCTTCACATTTTGGTTATGGAAAATTCCAATTCAATTCTTCATCTCGTGCATAAGAACCTCACTGGGGTGATGTGTTGGCCACTGTGTCCATGTAAACACAAACAAATCTAGAGTTCTAGCATTTATGAATGTTGACATTTTGTTTCCATGTACTTTGCATGTCTTTGCAAATTTGTAAAGTGAGTTTCATGAAACTG